GTTCACTCAGCAATAGTAAATAAAAATAGCTAGTAAATTTAGCAAATAATTACAAAGAAACGGTAAATATCACACTGAATTAAACATTTTGAAGAAGAAAAACTGAAAGTATGTTCTTGTAAAACATGCTCCAGTAATCTTTGTATTATTTACATCCACGAAAATCATTTTTACAGTGAAAATAAAGTTGTAGTCTCTGAGGAAGATGCTTTAGATTTCAAATGTATGATCAGAATATTTGTTTGATTATTAATAATGCATGTTTATTATGCATTGCTTTTTCACCAAACAAAACATTCATCATGCAAGAAAATACTATTTTATTTTTTTCTACTTGGAAATTTCATGTTTAATTCAACATGTTACTTGCCATGTCTTTGTAATTATTTGTGAAATGAACTAGCAATTTCTGAGTGAAAATTGTTTAAAAGAAAATCCATAATAATATTAATTATTATTATTATTATTATTATTATTATTATTAGCCATTTCTGAGTGAAAATTGTTTAAAAGAAAATCCATAATAATATTAATTATTATTATTATTATTATTATTATTATTATTAGCCATTTCTGAGTGAAAATTGTTTAAAAGAAAATCCATAATAATATTTATTATTATTATTATTATTATTATTAGCAATTTCTGAGTGAAAATTGTTTAAAAGATAATCCATTGAAAATTACTGAACATCTGAAAATATTATTATAATCAAATATCTTAATTTTACATACATTACATTACTTATAAATAAATTGTCAACATTTTGCATTAATTAAGTGTTATTTGCCATTTCTTTTATAATTGTAAATTTACTAGAAATTTCTGAAAAAAAAATAGAAATTTAGAAATAAAGAAAAAAAAAGAATAGAAATAGAAAAAAATATTTTTTTTTCAGTGCATTCAAAATGTGCGCACATCTAACTCATCTAATGACTTGCTGGCACAGCGCTAGATCAGTTAAACTGGATCGCGGAATAAGATGAGGATTTTCGCTGCAACATCCCATAACCATTTCTGTCGTGACATCAGCAGCAGTTCATCAGTGCTAGACAGTCGCCACGGCAACATCGCCATGGCTACATTATTCACTGCAAAATCACCATGGCTACGTTTCTAAGCATCCGAGTTTCTGCTCCCGCTCCCTCCCAACTGCTCGCACTTTTCTCTCCTTCTCTCTGTCTCTTTCTATATCTCTCTCACAGCTTTTACCCAGAATGCTGTGGCAGCAAAGAGAGACGGACAGTGATGATGTAACACACACACACACACACACACACACACACACGCCTGCGTTCTCTGAGCTGCTGACACATGGAAGGACTTTTAAAGCGAGGCCATTGTGCTGACAGAGACATCAGAAGTTAGAAAAGTAACTGCTGTACCAGAAGCTCCTAACATCAAGACAAAATCCTTGTGTGTGTGAACGCACTTGGCAATAAAGCTCTTTCTGATTCTGATTCTGAAAGAAAGCGAGGAATCAGCCAGAAAACCCGAGAAGTGCTCGTCTCCTGTGTTCACTCTTTAGCTCCTGCCGCTGGAGTCAGAGGTCCGCTCATCATTCGCTCTCTCCGTCTGGAAGTCTTCTTGTTTTCTCTCAGAGTTCGCAGCTCTTTCTTACACGAGCTCAAGGTCGATAGCTGCAGATTAACTGAGAAGCATCCTCACGTAACGGTGAGTTCGTGCAGAGCTCAGATCTTACTGTTGCTGTGATCAGAAACGACAGCGCAGTCGTGCCGGAGGAAATGATGCGAGGGAAACAGAGAGAAGCTTTGAGCCACGTCTGTCAGCAGCTGTATATACTGACCAGAGGTCGACAATATTTCATCGTTCTAGTTAATCGGTGTGTCATCAATAAAGCTTAATGTTAAAATTAATTATGATTAAAAACACAGTCTATCCATACAGTGGGGTCTAAAAATACATGGGAAATCTCAATAAAATTATTTTAATAAATAATAAAATGTTATATAATTTTATTGTAAAAATGTTACAATATATAACTTAATAATATGGAATTTCTATCAGAATTGCCCTTTTTTGAGACTGATGAGTGGAAAGCCACATTACTTTTTTCCCTTTTTTTTTACTTTTGTCTTTTACTTTATGTGTTTGTTTATTTATTTATTTATTTATTTATTATTTATGTTTTACACCAAGACATTGGTATTTATTTAAATTTTTTAATTACAAATAATATAAAATATTTTACATTTTCATAGTAACTGTAATAATTTAAATGGGATTATTTTCATTACATTTTAATATTTGCATATGTTTATATTTGCTTTTTTATAAAAAAATATATAAATTAATTATTAAAATTAAATAAAAAAAATTAAAAATATCAAAAAAAATTTAATATCAAAATGAACGTATGTACATTCTAGACCACTAATTAAATACGAGCACTGACCATGTGAACTCCTCACAGACAGTCAGATATATTTCCATGAAAGCATTCTCAAATAATGCGGGACAACATGATCATCAGTTTTTACGCAAATGTTTGATGTTTAAATGCATGAAACTGGCATTAATGCGTTTACTTACACAGCATACAAAAGCATGTTTACTTCTGCATCGAATAAACATCTCCACAAGCCCTCCGTGTCTCAAACGAGCAGCAGAAGTGAATGACAGACAGAAGCTAATTGATGAATTACATTGTGGCTAATTGAGATTGAGATGAAGTTTCTCTGACCTCAGAACGCATCCAGACACTTCGTTTTCTCTTTCTCAACCTTCACAGACGTCTGTTTCCACTCCTCTCTCTCTCTCTCCACCTCTCTCATTCATTTCGGGGCACGTCTGCATTACTTTGTAATTTTTCATTGGGAATTTGGAGAGAAGTGTGACATTTTAACGGGCTTGCTGGAGTCTCGTCTTCTTTTGAATACTAAACAGATTTTCCTCTCTTCGGTTATAGAAAGTCCTAAATGTCTCACTTAGAAAGACGTTCTGAGCTCCTATTGAGATACAAAGGACTTTTCTTTTATTCAATAACTCTGCGTATGTTTTTTTCCCACGAATGACTGCATATGGCAGCACAGTTTTACCGTGCAATAGCTATTAAATAAAGAAATAATTTCATATTTACTTTTTATTTTAATGATGTGTCATCTAATGTCACCAAAAGGCCTGTTTTCCATTTCATTTCAAACGGCGGATGCTTTAAACACTCTTCAGGTTTTGCAATAAATAGTTACAGAAATGCATCTGTCTGCCGAAGTGTTTCTGATCTAAATCTGACCGCTTGTAAATGCGGCGCGTTTTGTTTCAAAGCGAATCCTGGTTTTGCGCTTGTTTGCTGTAGAAAAACAAGCAAACTCGGCTAGGTCAATATTAATTACCAAAGTTGTTGAGCATACAGCAGCTGCTGTAAACAAATGCATTTTCATATCAAATAAGGTCGGCGTGATCCCTCGGCTCGTACACGGATTCTGACGCTTGTTTACTAACAAGTAAAGGATAAAGATGATCCACGGACGGCTGAGGTCCACAGCACAGGTGTTTGCTGCATAACCTGACCTTCATCCGTCAGAACGTACTGTGAAATCTCACTGGAATTGTACATTATACATTAAATATCCTCTGAACAGACACGTGTTAGCATGCAGTGTTAGGTCTTCATCTAAGCACAGAAGGACCGTTCCCATTTCAAAGAAGCAATCATCCACTTTCTCATTTAACAATGACGGCAATGCCTATTGGACCATAATTGAACCATTTATTATTTTCTCACTGTTTGGGTTCGGCGATGAGAAATAGATGAGGGAAGTCCACGAAGCCATCACGGCGGAGATTTTAATTGACTTCCGATTGTAAAAACATTGAGGATTTTAGAGGGAAAGTGCACGCAGAAATGAGCGCTGCCTTTGCGTGGAACACGAAAGAAGATATTTAGCGGAATGTTCACGCTGCTCTTTTTCATAGAGAGGAGCACTTTAAGTATCGCAGCAGTGGGGATTTATAAAGCCCTACGATAGATCGTGTGAGGAAGAGTGAACGTTACTGACCTTCGCCCAATGGAAGAGACCATTCTACTGAATAATGCCTTTTTGTGAAAGACAGAAAAAAAGTTGTGAAGTTGAGATGACAATTTTCATGTTTAGATCAACAGAAAGAAAAAAAAACTATAATAATCTTTTGGTTGGGTCCAGGATTATTATAGTTAAAAAAAAACATGTTTGTACTTGAAATAAAATAAACATTAATTGAAATTAAAATATAAATACATATTTTTAAAAAAAACTATATTTCAAGAAACAAGTTGTATCAATATTTCTCATTTTATTTTAGTTTAACTTGATGTACTAAAATAACTGAAACTAAAATTAAATCCATAAAAAAGTTACTTGAAATAAAATAAATATTAATTGAAATAAAATAAAGCAGTAATCCCCAAGAAGCCATGGTTTACAGTGATTTTATAACAGCTAAGGGGCGTTGTTAGGTGCGAAGCGGAGAAACCCCTTTAGCTGTTATAAATTCACTGTAAACCACGGCTTCACGGGGCTTATTGCTTTTATAAAACGGTTATTCCATATACGTAGCAAGGTTTCACAAAATAAAACAGAGCAAATAAAGTGTAATGATATTACTAAAAACAGTATTCTTCCACCAAACAATGTAGTTCCTCAGAA